GGCAACGATTTCAATAAAGATAAAATTTTGCTCTTTATCACAGATGCAGCGCCCTATATGAAGAAAGCGGCTCAAGTCATATATCCCTAAAATTACACACATAACATGTTTAGCGCATGCACTACACAGATTGTGTGAGAAAGTTCGGGATCTTCACCCTAAAGTGGATCAATTGATTGCAAATGTCAAGAAAGTTTTTTTAAAAGCACCGTCACGTCTAGCAATTATTAAAGAAATGCCTCCCAAGCCGGTGGTAACACGTTGGGGTACTTGGTTAGAAGCGGTGCACTACTATGCAGAACACTTTGAACAAATTCGCCACATTGTCAATATATTAGATTGTGAGGAGTCGCAATGCATTAAGATTGTCCAACAACATCGTGCGACAGCAAATAATTTTTATCGACTCCAATTTCAATTTTCTTGCTAGTTCTATAAAAAACCAATCTTTGAAAAAAGTTAAAAAAACAGCATCAAAAATCTCATTATTACGATTCCGCTCAACTTTTTTTTTTTAATTTTTTTAAAATATTTTTATACAATTTTTATAAGCTAAACCCGTTTTGACATTTGAGGGGATTTAAAAAAAAAAAAATTTTAAGAAACTATTTTTATTCATATAAAATTCCATTTTTAGAGGTATTTTCAAATCGGTCCAGCTCACTAAAATCTTAATATTTTTCCGAAATATTTTGGTGGACGTCTTAAAATATAATAAATTTTATAATTCCGATGGAAAAATAGCACCGATTTTTTTTTGTATGGGGAGTGATGCAGTCTAATGTACATACATACGTACGAGGACAAACAGCTGATTCCGTACGGAAGGTGCGATCAGTAAATTTGATGCAGCATATTGTTATTTATTGTGACAATAATCTAAAATGATTGAGGGCTTTTCGTATAATTTTTAATTTTTCAGATGAATGAATTGTGATTTTTTTCTTTTTGTTAAACCTATAGTATTTGTTATGTTTTTAATATTCCTTGGAATAATTGTCGTTTGTTTTTATTCCTAATAAAACATTTTTAAATAGCAAAGTTGTGTTTTTAATTAAGAACATTTTTGGCCGTGAAATAATAACGAAATTTTGAGCATATTTTAGCATATTTTTTATTTTAATGGCATATTTTATGCGCATAAAATGGATTTTTAAGTGCATATTTTGGGTTTCCCTGCTTATGACCTACATTGGAAAATAGGCTACTTCTATTAAGAGTTGCCACCTGTTAAAAAAGTTTAATTTAATTAATACGCGGAAACGACTGGACGGATTTGCATGAAATTTTGCACAGGGATAGTGTTACGCCGCCGTCAAATTCTAGAATGCACCGCCGTCGTTGAGCTGTCTTCGCCAAGGGTTTCGTCCTCTTCCTTGTACTATTTTTCGCTGTCATCGCTATTTCCCATTATGCTAAAAGTATACTGAATTTCTTTCTTTTTACGTTTTTCCTTCGACAACGTGCAGACTTAAAGTTTGCTGAATAATTTAATTTGTTAATTGCTAGATTAAATTGAATTCAATCCGAATTGAAGTTTATCTGTATTTAGTCTGAAATTGAATTCAATCCTAATTGAAGTTTATCTGTATTTAGTCTGCTGCACTTCAATAAATACAGTAGTTAAGTCTCTTGTGAGCAAGTATATTTTTGTAGAAAGAAAGAACACAAGTGTAAGAAACTGAATTTATACATTTGTACAAATCTGATTGACGTTTCAACGTCGCTGACGACGTCGCGGCCAGCGAGCGAGAAAAATATAGTTGCCCGAAATGTTTAAAAGGGCATTGCTTGACAGTATGTGAAGAATTTCGTGCATTGAACAAAGCCATGCGTAGCTCTAAATAGCAATGTGGTGTGGATGGTTGTAAGCGAGCGCATAATCCACTCTTACATACACCACATTATAAACGCTCTGTTACGTTTACAGAAAAAGAAACTAATGTTCGGGCCGTACAAAATCCTATTCTGTTCCATTCGAAAGAAAAGCGGAGCGCCGTATTTCGCTATATTGGTGTAACGCTTCATGCGTATGGTAAGTCTATCAACACATGGGCCTTTATTGATGAAGGTTCGGCTTGTACACTTATGGAGCAAGACTTAGCAAAAGAGCTAGGTATTTCCGGTCCAAGGGAGGAACTGTGTTTACAATAGACAGGTGATATTAAACAGAATGAAACGAATTCGCAGTCTGTTGCCCTGTGCATTTCCGCACAGGTGCCTAACGCAAAGAAATTTTATATGAAAAATGTGCGTACCATAACTGCACTTAAGCTTCTTGTACAATCATTAGACTTAGCTGCCATATTTGCTCGAGAACATCTAAAAGATTTACCAATTGTTCCATACACTGCGGAACGAGCACGGATTCTTATCGGCTTGGACAACTTAAAGCTTATAATTCCCCAAGAAACTAGACAAAGGGAAGGTGATGAACTCGTTGCAGCTCGATGCAAAATTGGTTGGTCCGTGTATGGGCGTGGCAATGCAACTACAGAGTCACACCAACGAATAATGCACCTTTGCACTTGTAATGGTGATAAGCGCTTGGAAGAACTGGTAAAATCACACTATTCATTGGAGTCTGTTGGTATTCGAGAAACTGCACCACTGGTTTCAAAGGAAGACGAGCGCTCGCAGCGCATAATGTCGGCTACAACAAAATACCTTCCTCTGGAGAAACGATGGGAAACTGGACTTCTATGGAAGCATGATGAAGTAGAGCTACCTGATTCCCTACCAATGGCACGTCGGCGTTTACAATGCCTTGAGGCTAAAATGTCTCGTCATTCCGACTTAAAAAAATTTATGATTAACACAATCCACGATTATGAGCAGAAGGGGTATGTAAGAAGGTTGAAGGAAAATGAAATTTCCGTGGGTGGCAAAGCCTGGTATATCCCGATATTTACTGTTAACAATCCTAATAAAAACAAAAAACGATTGGTCTGGGATGCAGCTGCTGCAGTAAATAATGTTGCCCTTAACTCTGTTCTTATGAAAGGACCTGATTTGCTTAGATCCCTATTAGGTGTGCTGATACGATTCCGCGAGCAGCCGATAGCGTTGTTAGGTGACATACGTGAAATGTTTCATCAAGTTCGCATTAGAAAGGAAGACCAAGCTGCACAACAGTTCCTGTGGCGAAATGGTGACAGCTCGAAGGCACCGGGGGTGTATGTAATGCAGGTGATGACATTTGGTGCAACGTGTTCGCCTTCTCTAGCAAATTATATAAAAAATAAAAATGCACTGCGTTTTCAACAAGAGCACCCAGTAGCTGTTAAGGCAATTTTAGACAATACGTTTGTGGATGATTGGCTACAAAGTGTCCAGCGAGAGCGTGAGATGATTGAACTTGCTACTATTGTACGAAACATCCATGCTGAAGGTGGGTTTGAGATGCGAATCTGGGTTTCAAACTCTAAGGCAGTTTTGCTCGCGTTGACTGGTAAATGCGAACAAACTGATAAATACATTGAGCAGCCGGATGAGTGCCATGAAAATGTTTTGGGGATGTGGTGGTCTCCGGGACTTGACATACTGCGATATTTTGTAAAATTCCCGAAAGAGATTTTCGATGAGAGCGTCATACCAACGAAACGACAAATTTTGAGAGTCGTAATGACAATATTTGACCCATTGGGTCTCTTAGGGTTCTTCATCATTTACGCAAAAATATTGATGCAAGAAATATGGCGCTCCGTGATAACTTGGGATGAGCCTATTCGACAAGAAGAGTTGGAAAAGTGGTGGCGATGGATACGATATTTGCCTTTTATTGAAGAAATACGAATTCCGCGCTGTTATAACTCGGTAAGTTCATCCGAGCGAATTGAACTGCATATTTTTTTGGATGCAAGTAAAGATGCTTACGCCGCTGCAATTTATTTGCGCGCCATACAAAACAATAAAGTTGCTTGTAGTTTGGTTGCCTCAAAAACACGCGTTGCTCTGCTTAAGCCTATATTCATCCCACGGTTGGAATTAATGGCGGCCATATTAGGTCTACGCTTAGCAAATTTGGTAACCAGCGCATTATCTGTTCGTTTGGATCGTCGCATATTTTGGTCCGACTCAAAAAATGTACTATATTGGATAAGGTCTGATGCGAGAAAATTTCAGCAGTTCGTCGCAGTTCGAATTGGTGAGATACTTGAAGATTCTCGCGTTCAAGATTGGAGATGGGTCTCTTCCTCAGACAATGTCGCAGACGACGCCACCAAATGGTCCACATATCCCGATTTTAATAACGCGTCTAGGTGGTTCATTGGGCCTAACTTTTTGCGCGGGTCTGAGGAGCAGTGGCCAAAAACAGACCTCAACGTCGCTAGCGATAACGAGCACGATCTGATTTGTCACGTGGACGTGAAGCAACCTACTTCTTCGCCATTAGCAGTCATTAGTCCTAATCCGATGCGTTTTAGTAAGTGGGAAAAACTGCGAGGTGCTTAAAGGTATGTCGTCATACGAAATTGCCAAGAAGAAGCCTATGGAGAAGAGTAAAGCAATTACATCGTGGCGAGCCAATATCCCGAAAGAGTGGAATCTACACATATTCGCCATATTTAGACAATTTTGGAATGCTTCGAGTGAAAGGAAGAATTGATGAACTACGAATAGCTGATTACGATACTCGGCGTCCGAAAATTCTCCCTCGTCATCATCAAGTAACCTAGCTTATTGCAGATTCTTATCACCGTAAATTTCATCATCATCACAATGAAATTGTGGTAAACGAAATGCGGCAGCGCTATAGTGTTCCCGGCTTGAGAGCACTAGTTCGAGAAACCGCTAAGAAATGTCAACTGTGTTGGTTTTTGTTTCATTTCCCTGTTTTAGTATTTTTAACTTTTGGCTTTTAAGCGAGCCACGCTAAAAGGATGATGGCCTCAAGGCCTATTTTTATTGATGAGACAAGTTAGAAAAACGAGGCAATGCTGCCGATTCTTGATTCAAAAGAAGTCTGTTTATTTCAGTGCACAAAAACTGCTTTTATAATAAATTTTACATTTCTCCTTAAATCTAAGACACTCCCACTTTTCAGTTACTTTTCCAACATTTTCATATTGTGACCAATCATAATTTATTTTTTTGTAGTTTTGCATTTTCTAAATGTTCTTGTAGTAAAGTCTCATTGCTTTTCTTTTACTCTAATTCAATTTATATTGACTTCTCATATATTGAGAAATATCAATATCTACAGAGTTCATCGTCTTCAGAAAATACCACATTACAAATGTCTTCACAAAAATGACCCACATGTGCAAGCTGCAATATGATCGTTTCGACAAAGCAAGTGGCCGCTAACGCTTTGCCCAATTTGTGACATATATATGAGTCATAACTCTTTTTTGCTTGCATTCTTATTATATAATATTGCAGTCACATGTGTGTTTACATTACTGACCTTACTTACTAATTATTTGTAGACACACAACACCCTTACCCTATAAAAAAAATGATTTTGTAATCATAATTGACAAAATTATTTTTATATTATAGTTTTACATATTCTTATATACGTTTACATATTTCTAGCTTTTATTAAATTATTATTGTGTACTTCTTTTTCTACATTGTCCATAATTATAGTACTGTTAGATCCGTTTTGTGATATAATTTTAAAAGGACCTTTAAAAGGTTTATCTAATTTTTTCTTATTTCCTACTTTTAAATATACGTAGTCTCCTGTTTTAAATTTTGGTTTGTTAATATATTTTTGTGTATTGGAGTTATGTTGTTTATTTTTTAACAAATTTTCTTGTGCTTGATTATGTGCATATCTTAGTTTAATTTTGAATTCATTTATATAATTGTCTAAATTGTAGAATGATTCTTTGCTTTTAATAATTTCACAAGGTAAAGAGCATAATTTACCATATACTAATTCAAATGGTGTATAGTGAGTCGTGCTATGTGGAGTGGTGTTGTACGAGTATGTGTAGTATGGTAATAGTTCATCCCAGTTATCCTTCCCGTCCATTGTCATTAAGAAGTCATTTAAAACTCTATGGTTTCTTTCAACTGTACCTAAAGTTTCATGATGGTATGGTGTTGATGTTACTTTGTCTATGTTCATTAGTTTACAGATATTTGTCAATAATTCGTTCGTAAATTCAGTACCTTTGTCTGTTTTTAATTTCCTAAAACAACCATATTTTAAAATAAACTTTTCTACTATCGTTTTTGCTACACTCACTGCGTCTTTTGTTATCAAAGGAAACGCTTCTACAAATTTTGTAAGTTCGCATTGAATTGTTAGTATATATCTGTATGTATTGGATGGTCTAAGAGGACCAACTGTATCTATTGTTACAACATCAAATGATGTATTTGGTGTCTCTGTTATTGTCAACTTTTCTTTTGTATATTTAATAATTTTTACCTCGTTACAGATTTTACATTTGTTAATATGGTCTTTAACCATTTTATTCATGCCTTTCCACACATATTTTTGTTTGAGTTTTCCTATGCATCGTCTTATGCCGCAATGGCCTGCTGTTTTTGAGTCATGGTATCCTTCTATTAATTCTTTCATTTCTTGTTCATTTTCTATTCTTTTCGGAGGAGAATATAATAGTATGTCTAGACAATCTTCGATTTCATTTTCTTGTATTTCATTAAAAATTTCTTTAAATCTATGAATAGATATCTTTTTAAATATTTCATCATCATTCGCTAGCGCTAGTTTACTAATGTGTTCATGCTTTGCGTGAGATAACAATTTTTTCAAAATCAATTTTAACTCTGATAATGTCTTATGATTGTATCTAACATGTAACTCATTTTTAAATTCATTAAACTCAATTTTTTGGCCAGTTTTAGTTTTATCTTTATTCTCAAATTTTAACTTTTTTACTCCTCTAATATCAGATATTGAAATACACTCCCATATATGAAGATGATCAGTCTCCAATGGTAAAGTGTCCGCGGGTGTTTCTTCTTCTTTATTATCTGTCAATTTATTTTTCATTCCTCGTGTTAACACATTAATATTATTTGTTGGTACCATGTCTTTTAATTTCTCCGAGTTTAAAACTATTCTTGACAACGCATCGGCGTTGGTATTCATTTTACCTTGCTTAAATATAATGTCAAAATCATAATCCATTAAATCTATTCTTATCCTAGTTAATTTAGATGATGGGTTCTTATGGGTAAATAAACTAACTAATGGTCTATGATCTGTATACACTATAAATCTTTTACCATACAAATATGGTCTGAAATGATTTATTCCCCAATGAATGGCTAGCAACTCTTTTTCTATTATCGCTTTGTTTATTTCATATTTATTTAATGATTTACTAGCAAATGCTATGGGTTTATTACTACCGATTTCTCCTTGAGAAAGTACAGCTCCCAGTGCATAATTTGAAGCGTCTGTTGTCAAAACAAAAGGTTTTGAAAAATCTGGGTAACTTAGTACTGGTGGCGACATAAGTTTTTCTTTCAAAAGTTCAAATGAACTCTGACAATTTTGTGACCAGCTAAAAATCACATTTTTCTTTAATAATTGATTTAATGGTTTTGCTATGTCAGCAAAGTTCTGAATAAAACGTCTGTAGTAGTTACAAAAAGCTACAAATCTGCGTACTTCGTCAGAATCTGTTGGTGTTGGGTAATCTTTTATTACTGAATATTTGCTAGGGTCAGTAGTCACACCTTTATCTGTGATTAAATGTCCAAGGTAAACTACCTCAGGTCTCAAGAAATTACATTTTCCTGGATTCAATTTTAAATTATATTTACGTAACCTTTTAAAAACTTCTACAAGATTCCTATTGTGTTCTTTTAAACTAGCTCCAAAAACTATTATATCATCAACGTATAAAAATGCTGATGCTTGTAAACCACTAAGTGCAATTGAAAGCATTCTTTGAAAACTATTTGTTGAGATTTTCAAACCGAAAGGCAAACGTTTAAATTGGAAATGACCTGAATCTGTTGAGAAGGCTGTTAATGGTCTCGATTTTGGATGTAGTGGAATTTGATGAAATGAACTTGTCATATCTAAAGTCGAAAAATACTTCGCTTTACCTAATTTATCAAGTACATCTTCTAACCTGGTTAATGGAAATTTGTCATCTACAACTTTTTTATTCAAAGATCTATAATCAACTACTAGTCTCCATTTTTTCTCTTCCCCCGCGCTCTTCTTTGGTACTATTAACAAGGGTGAATTGTATGGGCTAACGGAAGGTTCAACTATGTCTTCGTCTAATAGTTTGTCAACTTGTTTTTCTATTTCTTGTAAACTGGAGTGTGGTATTCGATAGTTTTTAATGTAAACTGGTGTTTTGTCCGTTGTTCCAATTTTTTGCTCATAAAAATTATTTTTTGTCAAAATTTCTCCATCTAAATGAAAAATGTTTTGATGATCTTTACAGATTTCTAATATTGAAGCTTTTGCTTCCTTATCTAGCTTATCTATTTGAATTTCTTTTTGAATTTTCTGGAACCTGCTTTCATCGGTTAAAGTATTTTTGAAATGTAGTATATCATAATTTTTAAGTTTATCTATACCTAGTGTTAATTTTGATATATTTACTTCCTTTTCAGTTGTATTCAAAAATTTTATATGCTTTATTCCTTCTGACGGAATAATGGTATTTGCAACAAATATCCCTTTTCTTATTTCTTTCCCACATATTACGCTTTCTTCATCTACATCAATATCTACAGCTATTACTGTTTCTGTTCTTGGAGATATTTTTATGTTTTTAACTGTTTTCGTTTGCATATTTATTGGTATTATCAGATCATCATCATCAACTTGCGATATTGTTAGTGTATACGTTTCATAATCAATCTTACAGCTACGCTCTGTTAAGAAATCTCTACCTAATATTCCATCTGCTAATAAATTTGAATTTTCTAACATTATGTGAAATTTATGTACTATTTCCTTATCCTCCCATAATAGCTTAATTTTTGCAACTCCTAACGAGTTTGTCATTCCCCCATTTATTCCGCTTATTTGACAAATGTCACTTTTATCTATATAACTATTAGCTAAATTTTCTTTTAATAATGATATATCTGCACCTGTATCAATTAATAATGATATAACGTTATTACCTATTTTAACTCTAATATAATTTGAAAGTTCTTCATTTTTACTTACACTAATTACTTTCTTTGTTGAGTACTCCCCGGTTTTTCGCCACCGGGGGTACCCCCGTTTCCCCGGTTGCCATCTCTATTGTTATTATTATAACCTCTGTTTCCTTGGTTATTTTTTCTATTATTTCTACCATAATTGTTACTTCCTCCTCTGTTATTATTAAACCCTCTATTACTAGTGTTGTTTCTATTATGGCTGAAATTCCTACTGTAATTATTATTTGAGTTTCTAGTGCCATGTTCATTATTTCTCTGTTCTCTATTATTAAAATTTCTATTATTATTATAGGACCTGTAATTGCTCGTAAAAGTTCTTCTATTTCTTGTGGCTATATGTACAAAATTATTCTGATTAGGTTTTGTTTCTACTTCTAAAGCTATTTTAATCGCGTCAGATAGTTTTGTTGGTCTTGCCGCCAAAACTACTGATTTAAATGGCTCTTCTAAACCATTCTTGAAAGTTGTCAAACCAATTTGGTCATTAAGTTTAACTATTATTTCTCTATTTGTTTCACCTTGTTCACTTATCTGCAATTCATTTAATGATGCTAACAAGTTCTCTATTTTAGACCCAAAAGTATTCACATTCAAACCTCTTTGATTTGTTTGTGATAATTCACTGTGAATATTTGAGGTTGTTTTATATGATTTATATGTTTGTTTGAGTAGTTTTTTAAAGTCTTCAAATGTAGTAGGCTTGGCTTCTGTCAGAATTTTATTTTTTACTTTTTCTGATAGCTTTGTAGCTAAAACGAATTTAATTAACAATTGTTTCTGCTGCTCATTCTCTAAGGTGTCGTGATAGAATTCAATTAAACCAAGGTAATTGTTTACTTCAAGATAATCCCCTTGAAATTCCGGAATTAGCTTGGAAGCAGTTACTAAATCAAATTTTGACATTTTTGTTTTAACTTCGTCAACTTTGTGTTTTAAAAGTAATTTTATTCTTCCTAAAAGCAAATCAAATTCATACTCCTCTTCTTTTTTTACTATTTTCTGTCGTACATTTAATAAGTCCTTTAAAGTCTTGTCTATGTATTCGTCTGTATAAGTTCTGTTTGGACTCTTTTTTAAATTCGCAAGTATCTTCGAAGCATATTCTATTTCCATTTATTTATTGTGTATAATTTTCATTTATGATAGATGTTATTTTTAAATATTTATTTTATTTAACATTTCACTAAAATATCCTTGATAAAAGCATATTGTAACAAACTTTTTCATCTTCATTCAAGTAAAATTTAATTGTTATTATTTTCAAATTTTATTATTATTATTTTTTTTTTTAACACTATTATTTAAATTCATATTTTTAATTATTTGTTTTTTAACATAAGTCTTACAATGCTTATTTATAAAATATATGATTACAATTAATATAAAAACAATCGAAATAAATGCTATTATATTATTTATTAAAAGGTTGTTGCTGCTGCTGCTATTGTTGATATTGTTGTTATTGTTGTTCATGGTGATTTTCTGCTGCTGTTCATTGGCTTTTGGAAGTACAATTGTCCAAACCATGCCTCAGTTGTTATGTTTATTTTTCTTTAATTCTATCAGTTCCGCAATTAGTTTTCGTTTGTTCTCTCCAGTGGCTAATGGAATTACCCTGTGAAGCTCACCAATCTTCCTTCGTAATTTCACCGCCTTACCTCCTCTGGTTTTTCGTTTTGGTGCACTATGCTCTGTGCTATCATTTTTAATCTGTCTTTTTCTGTAAGCTTCTATTGTTAGTGGCTTAGGTCCAGCCGTGAGCGGAGTTGGGACGTATTTTGATATTGGTGTGGATGACGTTGTCGTCAGTGCTTCAGGGACATATTCATCATCTATATTTTCTTCTTCGAGGGATCTTGGGTGGTTCAGCTGTTCAAACAGGTTGTCCAGATCTTCTTTTGAATATTGCTCCGACATGAATATAATTTTTATTAAGTTTAATTTTTATTTAAATTTATTTGTTTTTTAGTTTTTATTCCTTGCAGTTTGACATTTTGTAAAAATGTGAGTAAATGGAGGTTTATTTTATAAAAACAAATATTAATTACTCATATATTTATTCATAACTAGGGGAAATCATAAAAATGCAACGCAAAACAGCATTCTTCCAATAACAGAAATGCTACAACTGCAGATGTCATTTTGTGCCAATTTGGCAGGATCGCCATGTTAAGTTTGGTTTTTGATTCATTTCCCTTTTTTAGTATTTTTAACTTTTGGCTTTTAAGCGAGCCACGCTAAAAGGATGATGGCCTCAAGGCCTATTTTTATTGATGAGACAAGTTAGAAAAACGAGGCAATGCTGCCGATTCTTGATTCAAAACAAGTCTGTTTATTTCAGTGCACAAACACTGCTTTTATAATAAATTTTACATTTCTCCTTAAATCTAAGACACTCCCACTTTTCAGTTACTTTTCCAACATTTTCATATTGTGACCAATCATAATTTATTTTTTTGTAGTTTTGCATTTTCTAAATGTTCTTGTAGTAAAGTCTCATTGCTTTTCTTTTACTCTAATTCAATTTATATTGACTTCTCATATATTGAGAAATATCAATTGTGAAACCAATCGTTTCACAGTTGCTCTACAGAGTTCATCGTCTTCAGAAAATACAACATTACAAATGTCTTCACAAAAATGACCCACATGTGCAAGCTGCAATATGATCGTTTCGACAAAGCAAGTGGCCGCTAACGCTTTGCCCAATTTGTGACATATATATGAGTCATAACTCTTTTTTGCTTGCATTCTTATTATATAATATTGCAGTCACATGTGTGTTTACATTACTGACCTTACTTACTAATTATTTGTAGACACACAACAGTGCCCTCCCACAACCACCAGAAATGGTCGCCTTGCCACCTGAAAGGTTTGCAACATTTTCTCAGGCATTCACAAACACTGGTATCGAATATTTCGGTCCATTTGAAATAATTGTTGGTAGGCGCCGTGAGAAGCGATGGGGAGTGCTATTCACGTGCCTTACCGTTGGCGCCGTGCATTTGGAAATAGCTACCTCTCTTTCTACGGATTCATTTCTGCTGGTGCTGAAACAATTTATTGCCCGCCGCGGGGCACCCCGATGTATTTGGTCGGACAATGGCACAAATTTCCGCGGGGCGAGTCGCATACTACAGAACGAAATTGAGCGCTTCTCAACTGATGAACTTAAGCATCGCTATCCTGAAATCGAGTGGCATTTTATACCTCCAGCCGCGCCCCATATGGGAGGCTGTTGGGAAAGAATGGTTCGTTCGGTGAAATCTGTGCTAATGGACATCCTACCAACTACTGGCTTACGAGAAGAAGTACTAAGGGCAGCTATGGCTGATGTGGAGCATATCCTAAATTCACGTCCTCTAACGTACGTTCCCCTCGATTCGCCTGAAATGGAAGCATTGACGCCTAATCACCTTCTCGTAGGCAGTTCCAGCGGAATACGCGAACATGAGGCAGAAAATGGGGACGGTGGTACATTGAGCAAAAATTTTCGAATTGCATGCCAGCTTGCTGATGAATTCTGGAAGCGTTGAATCCGGGAATGTGCCTAACACGACGATCCAAATGGTTTCAAAACCCTCCCAATCCAATTGAGGTAAATGATGTTGTAATTATCGTAGATGATAACGCAAAGCGAAACACCTGGAGGAAAGGTATTGTCATTGATGTCAATTGCGCAAAAGATGGAGTAGTGCGCAGCGCAGTTGTTCGAACAGCCGACGGATTGTTTACAAGACCATCAGTTAAATTGGCGAAACTTGATGTAAGGAGGTAAACCCCGTTCATTGTGCGCACGAAGTTTACGGAGGGAGGGATGTTACGCCGCCGTCAAATCCTAGAATGCACCGCCGTCGTTGAGCTGTCTTCGCCAAGGGTTTCGTCCTCTTCCTTGTACTATTTTTCGCTGTCATCGCTATTTCCCATTATGCTAAAAGTATACTGAATTTCTTTCTTTTTACGTTTTTCGACAACGTGCAGACTTAAAATTTGCCGAATAATTGAATTTGTTAATTGCTAGATTAAATTGAATTCAATCCTCATTGAAGTTTATCTGTATTTAGTTTGCTGCACTTCAATAAATACAGTAGTTAAGTCTCTTGTGAGCAAGTATATTTTTGTAGAAAAAAAAACACAAGTCTAAAGCTGAGATCCCACGATTGCCGCAAATGGACCAATCTGGAACAATTTTTATTGTGCTGTATTGGAGCACAATAAAAAAATTGTCCCAATCAAACTCTGTACAGTCACACGGTTGCCTCTTTTTATACAATTTAGATTGCCGCAAGTTGGCGAAAAGCAATATAGTGACAATAATTGCCCCAAACTTACACGATTGTTCGAGCATGCGGCAATTGTGACAATAAGATGTTGCGCTGACTTCTAAATTCTGTTTTGTTCTTTGTTATGTAAAAAAAAGAAGAAAATTGCATTCTTTGTATATTGTGGGCTCATTTGATGCATATTCGTTGTTGTTTTAAAGCAAAGAAGCAAAAACTTGAGTCCATTGAAAACGGGCGCGTTTAATTAGAAGTTTGAGTGTACAGTTTTTTTATTTTCCGACCATAAATGCAACGTGCTATGTGGAGTTCTAGTGCAAGAGCTTTCTTTTTAATTTTGTTACGTAGAGGTTTTTTTTATTAATTACAAGTAAAATCGGTACAAAATAGCTATGTATGTTTAAATGAAAGCTGTGAATTTATATAATTTATGTTTGCAATGAAATTTTATAATTATATGTGCAGCTCGCAACAATACATAGCACCTCAACATTTTTATCAGTGTTGACTTTTTTGTTCTGTTTGTTTAATGTTAATTTTTTCCTATAAAACCATAGCTTGTTGCCTAGCAAAAACCACATAAATCTAAATTTCAAACTTTATACAAAAATTATAATCATTTCTTAAACTTTTGATCACAATTTTCACAGAAGAAAGCGCATAATACCTCAGCTAAAAAAATTGTAAAAAATCAACAGGGTTTAGCAACTTTAAACTTCCACCTTATTGTACCAAATTTTAATAAGCTATAAAACTGAAAACAATTTTTTTTATAGAAATACAAATTAAAAACCGTGGAATTGTGTTCAAAAGTTTAAGACATTTTTATAATTTTTGTATTAAGCTTGCAATTTGGATTTATGCAGTTTTTGTTAGACAATGAGCTATACTTTTATAAAAAAATAATGAACATTAAACAAGTAGTAGAAAAATAGTCAAGACTGGTCAAAATGTTGAAGTTCTACAGTTTTGTCGGGGGCTCTATTGAAGTTTTAAGTTTTTTTTTTTAATAAATTTATACTGCCATGGAAGTTCGCCAATTGATGACATAAAATATCTTTCGTATTCTTCTCGGATGAGTTTTGCTTGTGGTGGTATATATGGTGTTGGCATTTCTTCTGTTCCTGGCTCGATCTGCAGTAAAGGAGCACCACTGCACTCTCCCGAAATAAGGTTACCTTGGCTATCATAACGATCAACCATCGACGACGATGCATAATTCGCACCTTTGTTGAGTAAATAATTGTGCAAAGCGCAAGAAGCAAGTGTCAATATTTTAGTTTTTTCTGCATCGAGTTTTATTGGACGAGAAAATACTTGAAAGCGGATTGCGAGTATGCCAAACGCGTTTTCAACAATGTGCCTTGCCCTAGACAACCTGTAATTAAATATACGTTGTCCTGCAGTCAAGTTTCGACCTGGGTAAGGTTTCATAACATTTGTTTGCATTGCGAATGCGTCGTCTGCTACTAAAACAAAAGCAACGTCCATTTCACCACCTGGCAACGGTCGAGGTGGGGTCAAATTTAGAGAATTGTTTTTCAGAGCTGCAGAAAACGAACACTTGTTAAAGACACCACCATCCGATACGCGTCCATTGCAGCCAACATCAACGTAAATAAATTTGTATTGTGCATCGACAATGGCCATTAGAACAATACTATGCGTTCCCTTGTAGTTATAATAGGTGCTGCCCGAGTGCGCCGGCGCCTTCATAACAATATGTTTACCGTCGAGCGCTCCCACACAGTTTGGAAAATTCCACATTACTTCAAATCCGGATGCGACTGCTGCCCACTGGTCCGATGTGGAAGGAACCTGGTAAGCGATCCACAGTTGAAGTTTGTTTTAATGACTTTGTGGGTAAACCTACCTTCATATACTTATCCTTCAACACGGCGTAAATGGCGTTGCAAACTTCTGGAATTATTTTCCATATGGTGTTTGGTGCAATCCGGAAAAATGCAGCTAAGCTTTTGAAGCTATCGCCAGTGGACA